GTTTCTTTGAAAATGCCGAGCTCTTTCTCCACCACCTTAAGAAATATGATGAAAGAGGCAGGGGAAAAACAAGGGAGACACTGAAAAGGTGGTGATCTGGTCTTCCAGTAAAATTAGACGAAGACTAGGGGCATTATGGCACCTTCCTCAGTGCTGTTTCCAAAAGTCACTCAGTTTCAACAAATATTATCCTACATGAATAATATTTAGTTATCTCTATAATTTTAGTGAAAGTGATTTTCTGCACTTCAAATACTCTTCATAGTACTTCTCTTTTAAATTACACACATGTAATTTACAAACAAAACTATTTATGTTAAATGTTTCGGATTCTGCCTTCTTCCTTTGGTGTTTGTAAATCACTCTTATAAATGTGTACTGTATGTATATATTTTAGTGATTAACTATACACGTGACAACGGAAACTGTCTTCGGACAAACGCTGGCTCTACGGCTTAGAAACGGGGATGAGCACCGCCCCCTAGAGTCAGACATGATTGACTAAAAATGTCAAGGGGAACCTTTACCTTAGCCTTTTTTTATCCCTAAAACAGATTTTAAAAACATTAGGGTTCTCATTTTCACTCTTGCTCTCTCTGTGTAATCCCCTGTGTGTTCAATTGAGATTACATCCAAGAAAATACAGAAGGAATTACAGCCTAAACAGGCAATCACAAACCGATACTTGAGAATAAGATCCTAGGACTGGGAACTGACCTCTGAGTAGACATGCACAGGATAATAGTTGTGTTTGTCAAAAAAAACTGTGGGACTTCGTTTCAACGTATTTAATGACTGGTGGGAAGAAAACAGTTGTTCATACTTTCAGCATTTTAGAACTAAAAGCAAAGTGAGCCAGAAACTTTTCTAAAGGCTTTTAAAAAAATTTTCTAGCTTCATAATATAGATCATTTTTATGTTAGGCATCCTTCAGTCTCGAGAGACTATTGTAACATGCTCTGTATGACTGTCCTCTCCAGAGCACGAAGCCTGGGTAAAATAATATGGAGGATAGACTGTTACGGAAGCAGCAAATCCCCCCTCTCCATGTCACTGAAATAGTCCAATGGAAAGGCAAGAGCCAATACAACTGGTTCCAGTGATGTTGCAGGAGTTGCCAGAACGACACGAACTGCCTCTGGGACTCCGGCTCCAGATTTATTTATTTATTTATTTATTTATTTATTTATTTATTTATTTATTTAACTTATATGCCGCCCACACTACCCGAAGGTCTCTGGGCGGCTTACAACATTTAAAATACAATAAAAAGGCAAAATAAAAGGGCAAAATAATTAAAATGCAATTAAAATATATATTCTAAAAATTGCCATCAGACCTACAGTTGATATTATTTCAGTTAAAAAGCCATTTGGAACAGGAAGGTTTTGACCTGGCGCCGAAATGTCATCAGTGTCGGCGCCAGACGAATCTCAGTCGGGAGAGCATTCCATAGTCTGGGGGCAATCACTGCCCCAAATGAAATCACTGCTTCTTCTTTGTGCTCTCCGTGACGTACACCTCTGGGTCCTGCGCCTTCATAGAGTTATTTCTGGAATGTTCCAGAGCTGAAGAGATTGTTTTTCCTCCTGCATACATGTTTAGCTGCTTCCAAAGGCTCTCCTACCAATGCTTAAAATTGACATGCCGGTGCTATATATGGAAGATAGAAAAATATGCATGCTTTTTTTCTTCAGTACTGAAAAAGGAATGATAATTCTAAATCATATAAAGGTGGGATTTATAAGCAAATAATTTGGGTAAACGGTTGTTACACATTCAAATGGATGTGCATTAAAGTAGTGTTGTAGTTGTGATTGAAATTTGACTAAATTCCTCAAATGCAAGAATAAAGTGATACCTTTATTGAAGCACTAAAAATCATACAAATTGCAAGCTTTCATGGATAAAATCCTACTTCATCCGGCTGG